CGTGAAATCGTTACCATCAACCAAAACTTCTTTTTGTTTCTGTTTTAGATCCGTTTTCCTTAAGGCCCTTCTATTGTTAGAAGACAGTGACCAATCAATTCTCGGAGGGCTTGAAAGAGTTGAGGTGTTGCCGTTGGTGTCGTTGATCTCGTCGGTTTGAATTTGTCCGGTGTCACGATGATTATTGGTAGAAGAAAACTTAAGATTAAATCTCTCGATTAAAGAGCCGAAACCACTTTTTTTACTTTCCGACTTTGCTTTTGGCACCGTTGAAAATTTGCCGGTGTCATTAGATTGATCCTCGACCATAGTGCTCGAACTGTTGCTCCTCTCCCCTCTTTTTCGATAACTAAGCCTGCGAAAAAGATTTGTCAGACTACTCGACTTTTTTACTTTTGGAGGATCATCAGGTTTGGTGTTAGCGGTAATGGGATCTGAGACTTTTATTGACGGTTCGGGGGATGACTCAGGGGAAGAGTTTCCTCTTATTGGAGCAACAGGGATTTCACCTGAGGGAGTGGCGACAACCGGATCGTTATCGCCGGAAGATGATGGAACTACTGTTGTTGTTGATTGTGATGATGTCGGTATTGTCACATCGTTTTTGTTACTATTATTATTATTATTATTGCTATGAGTGTTATTAATGTCATTAATTTTATTATTGGATGAGTGATTGTTTTTAGGTTTTAATCTGCCCCAGCTTAACCACCAAGAAATTTTAGCAAACATATTTTCTGAACTTGCGGTGGTCGGCTTACTTTGTGGTTCATAGACAGATGTTTTATTAGTACTCTCTGCAATGTTGATTGGTTCGACGAATATTTCATCCAAAGATGAGGTAAGTTGGTTAGCTAGATTTTTATTTGTTCCCTTTGCTCCAGGAAAGGTATTTGAGGTTGAATTCGAATCCTCAACAATCACTGTTGAAGTGGACGCATAATCCCAAGAATTTGTTCTGGGAAAGTCCTTTGGAGGTGTAATTGGACGGAAATCATCCTTTGGAGGTACGGGAGGAGGTGTAATATCAATGTCGGTCATTGTGAATAAAAAAGAAGGTGAATCCTATTGTCAGGGTTAGTTAAGTTCGAGTGAAAAGTCGTCCGTAAGCACAAACTTTCACTTGGAATAGTTAAAAAAGGAGTTAATTTGCTTTGATGTGTGAGATGACAAATATAGGTCAAGCATGTTTTTCTTCATTGTACGTGATTGTTTTACAAGGGAAAATCCTCAGTCATAGTCGACTGTAGGGAAAAAAAAAAAAAGTTGAAGACAAGGGTGGTCGTTGCTGCTTCTTATGTTTGGCCAGGTCTCATGATCTACGGCCACATTCGGACGGGTCAAAATTTTGCGAAACATTAAGGCCAATCGCATGTGGGCATTTTACTAATTCAGTGCAACATTTTAACCGAATAACAATTCTATTTATAAGGGACCCTTTTTTTTTCTATTTCGGCATTTAAAAGTTAAAATGTACATGAAGGAAATTCCATTTAAACCTTTTTGAAATGACCATTCACGTCATGAGCGAAAAAAAAAAAATTTTTTTTTGGTTTATTATGCAACATTATTTAGACAATATACCGTATATACGTCTAACAATTAATTTCTTGAAGGCGTAAATATTTGATTATCATCTTGCGATATATACTGTATGATTTTGTTAGATCGATAAATTTTATTAGTCAGTTTTTAATATAACAAGTTTAATTTATTTTTTAATATAACAAATGTACAGTATATACTATATATTCTTGTAAAATTGTGATTTATTGATTTATTAATAATATTGTCTTTTTGACCTATTAAAAGATTTTATTTAACAAAAGTTGATTTGCAATATATTATATAATAAAAATCGTTCAATTATAACAAATTATAAATAAATAAATATAATAAAAAAAAAAAATTTTTTTTTTATAAATTTTAAAATTATTTATTTTATTAAAATATTGATTCAATATATACAGTAAATTAAAGATTATTACTATTAATTATTTCACTAATTATTGAATCATTAAAGCTAAACTATGATTACTTTTAAAAATTTGAGTTTACTTATTATGTTTTATTATAAATTTCAACTTTATTCATTTTTAAATCTTTAATTATGCAATCAAAATTTATAAAATTTATATATATTATATCTTACTGTAATATTTGTTTCATTTCTTATATCTTGAAGTTTTATTATTGTTAAATATTTTTATTTTTTTTATTAATTATCATATGATTTATGATAACAATTAATCTTTTAATAAAGAAAGAAATTTTTAACAATAATAAAATTTTTAAAAATTACATATAAAATTTTTTTAAAAAAAATATTAAAAATAAAACTAATATTAAAGTATAATATATATAAATTTTATAATTTTTGATGGAATAATTAAGGATTTAAAAATTAATAAAGCTGAAATTCTATAATATAAATATAGTAAGTGAACTCAAACTTTTAAAAATAACTATATATTAAAAAAATATTCAAAAATATATAAATATATTATTTAAAAAAATTTAAAAATTTTATTACATTATTTAAGAAAAATTTTTTATTCTTAATTTTAAAAAATCTTTTTTTTTTTTTAATTATCTGATAAATATTTTTTTGTTAATATATAAATTTATTATATTACTTTTTATTATTTTTATATTATATTATAAATGAGTTTGTCTAATTAAAATAAACGAAAAATTATTTTTTTAAAAAATTATTATTTAGTTAAAATAATAATAAAAAATAAGAAATTTTAATTATTGATTATTGTAATATTATAAATTTATTTTAGAATGTACCTTATAATATTGAAAAAAAAAATTTTTATATATTAATATATATAAATACAATTAATAAAATAATAGAATTTTATTTATATTTTAAATCTAATAAATTTTATCTAATAATAAAAATAATAATAATTATTATTAAATAACTATTTTTAATAATAATATATTTTTTTTTTTTTTACTTATTTATTTATAATTGTTTTTTTAATATTATTATTATTACTTTAACAATAAAATTATTATTTTTTTTTTTAAACTCTCTGTCAGGCTAGTTATGTGTGCTTTATTAAACAATCGTAAACTATACATTATATATATGTTGCTAAAGCTAAATCTCTAACTAACTCACTTATCAAAGTTTATTTATCTAGGACTCTAAGTACAACTTCAGAAATGATTTATCACTCTGTTAGTAGTTCAGGTAGAAACCCTTCCAACTTCTAATATTATCACTCACAAATCACTACTGCAGATCATTGCACGATGTTCTAACAAGGATCAAAACCCCAATCACTTCATCTCATATTTAATTCTATTCCTTATAATTTCTACCAGGTTTTGTTTTCTCTCTCTTTTACTTCTTCTCTTTGCCTTGTGCTTTTATGATTAAGATTGTCTTGTGGGTTCTACCATCTTGCTTCCTAGGCCTTCTTATACTGTATTTTGTTCTTCTATCAATTCTTTGTTCTTGTTCCTATTCTATAATCTTTTCACATCTCACGTTCCAGACTTGTTTTCAGATCTGATTGCAAATTTTCTTTTGTACTTTTAGAATTCATTTTTTTACCATTGTTACCAGATTCTTTCCATAACAGTTTAAGTTAGCAGCTTCTTTGATTGTATCACTTTTTATTAATCCTATGCAAAAGTTAAGAATACTTGAACTGGTTTGCGAGGCTGATTCTATTAGTCTAGAGGTCCATTTATTTAATTCACCTTTTTTTTTTCTATTGTCAACTACTAGTTGTACCATTTTTTCATCCACTTCCCTCTTACATTCTTGATACAACTTGTCGAATTCTTTAAGAATAGTCTCAGATCCTTTTTGCCATGCCACTAGGATCTCAATATTGTAATCAGAACATTCTAATAAGTGTTCTATTATTTCTTGGTACTGATTACATGCTATATATCTTGCTTGCTTGTATAGGTTTAGTCTTCTTATTACTAGCTTGTTTAAGATAGGTAGTTTATCATTGGTCAATTTAACTAGGAAACTTCTTCTCTGTGAACTTTTGAAGGAGGTATCCCATGTATTTCCATCTTTTAATCTATCCCATGCCAGATTCCATGAGTAGATTTGATACTTATAAACTTGATGCTACCATTTTGTCTCTGTT